CAATTCCTTATCCTGACTGGACAGATCACGAGCACAGGCCTGCCACTACCCTGTCCATAATGTTATCCAGCTTGGTCTGGACCAAATAATATTCTCCAAAACACTCCAATGAAGCTCCAGATAGGATGGCCAGTGCTAAGGGAACAGCTTTTTTATGACCAGACTATTTTAAGAAATGAGAATTTTGGTGTATGAATGAGAATGGTTGTGGTGGTTGACAATATAGTTTGAACAACTGGAACTGGGAACCATTTCTGTTTAGTGTAGGCAGCAGAATGCAAGAAATGGTCTGTGCTGAGTCCTGGGAATCTCTTGTTTCTACTGAACAAGTAAAACTTCCACAGTCCTTTTTCTGGATGGGGAGGAAGAGGTCTGTGTGTGAGGAACAGTCATGCCAGCGACTGTGTGTAGATGTGTTAGCCTCAGGCAGTTTGTAAGTACAAATTCTGCAACACCATCACAAATTCTTGTTGTCTAGCCTTCCCATTCGCTTCTGGAATCTCTAAAAATATTCCTCAGCATTGCTAAAGATGAAGGAATAATAAAAATTGAGGGCACATAGAGTGTATATATATGTGTGTGCACACTTACACATGTTCTAGCACTTTTGGCTACTCTGATTTAGAAATCCTCCTTCCATCCATGCAATTCCTGGAGCTCACTCACATGCTGGACAGACAGTCACGCAGTTGCAGAAGTCCAGAGCAGGGTCATGACTGAGCCACATGCCATACCTGGGCAGCAGCCAAAAAACATGGGCCAAGGGTTCAGCACCCCAAATAAACCACAGAATTGTGTAAGTCAGACCAGAATTCATAAACAAAGATAACCCAGTACAAAACATGTAATTCTAAAAGCATTTTGCACTGAGAGCAAATGCAAGCATGATTTTAGAAAGGTTGAATCAGCCATGTCTTCCAAAAACACAGGTCAGGAAAGCAGGTTATCCAAAACAAATACAGCAGAATATTTCTCCTGTACCATTACATATTAAGACCCAGGTCTCTTCCTAGTGGTAAAATGTTTCTTTATATCTCCCAGTCACTAAAAAAAGTTAAATATTTCAGTCTTAAAAATTTAATTATCTGTGCTCCACCTTAGATGCCTTTGCTGAGTGTCTGCCAGGAATCAGTATGAGATCTGTATGCAGCAGTTGTTCTGTTCATACAGCTCTTCATCACCAAACATAAGAATTTAGATAATTGATATAGAAAAAAATTATTTTTAAGTTACTACATAATTCAAAGGGAATTCAGAGGGGAATAAAGAGTAAAATTGTGGGGTTTTTACTGTCTTTTATTAACTTTGTTAATGTTGTTAACGCATATGACTGCAGTCTATTCCCAGCACCTGTTGTGTTTCAGTTACAGAGAGATGTAATCAGCAAAACTGCCTATCCTGTTTATTTCTCTTTTCTTTATACAACCATATTCAGAGACCTGAACAATGTGATACCTATCGTCTTCATATTTACTTTTGCCTTAAAAAAATCTTTTTTTTTACTCTAACAGCACTCGGAGATTTTAAGTAAAATATTTTTTTTAAAACAAAAACAAAAACAAAAACAAACAAACAAAAAAAACCTAAAAGCCAACAAACAAACAAACAAAAACAACAAGAAAACAAAACAAAAAACACCCAACCAAACAAAAACCAACCCAGCAAAAAGCCCAAATCCGAAATATATGTAACTATGTTTCGTATAACTGAAGCATAAGAGGTATGAGAACTACCTTTAAACTGTGTGTATAAATTCATTCCACTTTGGCAGCACACAGGTCTAACATGTAAAATCTATAATACACTAGTCAAAAGAGGCAAACTCAAGAGAGAAGCTGTGGGAGATCAATAAGGAAAAAAGCAACCACAAAAACTTGGCTGAGACTAGTTGTGTTACACATGTATTTACTGTCTTTTACTTGAATACACTTTTTTATGCACCGACAGGAACTCCTATCCAGCTGCCTTTCACCAGTTATTGCATTAACTGCAGGTGTAAGATGTGCAGGCTAAAAACATACATTTCAGAGGACATGTTGCCTCTGCTCTTGCTGCTGTTGCTGCTGTAGCAAAGGTTGGCTGAGGCTGTAGCATATTATCTGCAGGAGGAAGCTTCCATCTGCAAGAACCTGGAGAAATCCTACCTCCTCCTTGGTTCTGTAGTGTTTGTGTTTGCAAAGTCTATCATCACAAGAAAGAAGCTGTTACTTCAGTACCCCCAAATCAAGACTGGGCAATCAGATGAAAGTGGTTAAATTACTGGAGCCTGTTTTCACTTTCACAGTTGGTACAGTTATATGTCACCTCAAATGGAAAACCAGCTTATCTGTTATTTAAGATATGGCTAGTATTTATACACAGTACGTAGAGAGTTCTTTCCATTGCTCAGGAGACTAAACAACCTTGATGTTCATTTTCCTTGTAACTCAATTTGGTTTGTGCTTTGGGTTTTCTTGGTTTGCTTTGTTTTTCCTCCAGTTCAATGTGTAGCTTTGAAAGTCATGCTGATAAAGAGAGTTAGCTATACTAATATCTGTTGTCCTGCAAATTAAAAAAAATCCATTAAATTTGCAATGTAAATGTCACCATTTGACACACTGACCATTCACACCTAAAATCAGAATGGGAAATTTAGTTCAGACCTGATTCACAGGAGTGTCACCAAGGATGGAGGTTCCACAACCCCTCAGAGTAACCTGTTCCTGTGTTTCACCACCCTCACAGTAAGAATTTTCTTAGTTTTAAGCAAAAGTTCATGTTCCATTTTGTGCCCATTGACTCTTGTCTTGTACTTTGGCTGATGATGACAACTCTTCAAGCATTTCAACCAGCTTTCAGTCCACTTTCCTGTCCATCCATCTAGCCCATACTTCATGAGCTGTCTATGAAAATATTACAGGAAGGTGTCAGAAGGCTTCCAAAGGCTGAGAAAGTCATCTAGAGCTCTACTTTTCTCCATCAAGCTGGTCTTATACTATAATAAAACACAAAATGCTCAAGAAATTATAAAAATCTAATTCTATAAAAAATGAAACAAAACAACCTTCTACCTGAATCTATTTCAAAATGTTAATTTGAACTTCATAAAAAGCTATAGAAATACCCTAGTTAACTTATTCTAACTAGTACAACTCCATATAGAACCAGACTATGTGAATTCATTCTGTTCTGGGAAGACTGAGGATAAAAGAATGGAATATGCAACCCCTCATATCATGCCTACTCATTTTGTGCGTAACAATCATTTTTTTTGCCCCCTGGCATCTTATTTCTGGCAACTTTAGTATTGAAAAATGTATTTTACTTTATGACAGAGAGAAAAATAAACTCTGGCTTCATATTCCTCTACCCATAATATTAACAGAAGAATAGATTTAAGTATATTTTGTCACTAATCTAGGGACAATTATACATGTTGGAACATACTTATTACATCAGTTTTCAAATACAATCACATATGCTGTGAACATTAATGCTTGCAGTTTGAACTTAAATTCAACTCCCTTATATGTTCTCTCAATATAATCTTCCCCAAAATTACAAAGAAAAGCTGCATCTGTTAAAAACATCCAAAATAATGCTAAATATATTTTTCCTAAAAGAAAATCATTTTGAGGTTGATGATTTTTAATTTCCTTGCTTCTAGAAAGGAACATGGAGGAACATTGCACCTACAAGCTCCTTCACTGTTAAGTTTGTGTAAGTCAAACACACAGAGTTCTCTCATTCCTATCCCCTCACAGCAAAAAATAGTTCCACAAAATTTTACAGGCCCATCTACTGTTCTGTGGTGCAACAGCTGTTACCAGCTGGAGATGCTTTATGCTCAGTTGAACTATGTTAAAAGGCATTTCCCTAGTCACCTTCAAATGAGGCTTTTTTAATCTTTTCATGACATTTTATAACTTCAAGTCTCTCTTTTGAAAGAATTCAAGCTGAAATTACATATAGATTTAAAAGATTAAATGGCCTTTGATTGTATTTTAACAGAAAGAGTGACATAAAGTATTGCAAAAACCCCACAAGCAAGCTACAGAGCTTTTTAAAATCGCTCACCAGATCACTGAGATGCTATAAACAGAATAGTACATCTTACCTGTTATTTACTATAGCTGACAGATTTTGGCTCATTTCACCTGAATAAGTGGATCTTCTGCTTTTCAAGGATATTAATAGACTCTTAAAACATACAGGTATACTCTTTCAGAAAAGAGTAACTGGAAAATGAGCAACAGGAACCACACAGTTTTTAAGTGTTTCACCAAACAGATGTACCACAGTAAAAAGGTGACAAGCTTTCCACAGTTTTTAAATTTGCTTCTGGGAAGGAGTTCAATCCAAAACTACATCCAAACTACAGACCCAGATGAATACAGGGGAACAAAAGAAAGGTGAGGATTTTTGTAACAGAGAGAGGCAAGGCTTTCCTTCGTTCATTCAAATCCCTTTTGGGTCAAGGGGTGCAACCGGGCTGCTCCAAGAGGGAAAGCGTGCTGAGGGAACAGCAAGGCAGGCACAAGGCAGGGTCCTCACCAACAAAAAGCATGTCCCACCACACCAGCCCCACTCAAGAACAAGAGCAAAGCAGGCCTGGTGATGGGAAATTTGTGGACAGTGACTAATACATTTTACCTATTGAGTGTATTTCAGATAATAAGGGAGCTGCTAATACACTAAGAGAAATCAATACAATTCCAATTAACCACTCTTTCAATGCTCCCATTAAACCTTTTATATAACAATTCCCAATTCTTCTTATAGGAACTTTTGCACGAACATGACCACAGAAAACATTGAAGAAAGACGTCAGCTAAAAAAATTACTCTGTGTGCTCTTCCCAACTTAATTTCTGTTTGATACCAATGCTGACATAAGAAGAAACAAGGCCTCAGTCTTCCTCCCCTCAAAGCTAATGCATGAATTATCTAACAGTAAAATAAGAAATTAAGTCTTGTGCTATTCAAAAGTGGCTGCTTACTAAAAATAAATACCAGGCAGACTTTAAAAATATATTTTATTTAGTAATTGGAAAAATATACATGGAACTATTTGGATATTTGGAAATTAATCCTACAATAACTTAAGAAGCATTTTTAAAAGATAAACTGATGGTTAATTGTAAAAGCCTAGTCCTGTCACAATTCACAGTTAAACTGTAATGAGCACAGGAAGTTATTACAATTCTTAAGTAATTGATTTGCATTTCACATATATATAGGTCATTATTAATTCATTATCACCTCAATGAAAGGTTTCGTTTCTTTTGTACAAAGGCTATTTACACAAACATGGAATCTACACAATATCCTAAAATCCAAGTGCTTCTGAGGCTGTGTGGTGCTTAATGCTAAAACCAATGTAAGCAAATTAAAACAGTCCAGATTAAATTTATAAATTACTGCTAGAACAAACTAGCCAGTTTCAAACATATTTTATTTATATAAAATTGTAGATCTCTCCTGAGACCTGTTTGTGGATTAAAAGGCTTAAATTATTTATCTTGTGGTGTTTTTTTTCCCTCCAACACAGCTTAGCATCCTCCTGTTTCCGCAACAGTAAAATTAAAAGCCTTTCTCTGATTTCAGCAATTCTTTAGCCAGAGCCAGCTTTAAATAGACATGAAAACACACAAAAAATTTAGGACAATCTCACAAAATCCGAGTCTAACCGTGCCTTTGCTCCAATCTTAAAAACTGTTTTAAACTAAGTACTGATTTTCATTCTTTGCGACTCCTTCCTCCACTGAGTGTGTTACCCACAGCTCAGATACAATTTTAAATTTTTTCCCAAATGTTCTCCTGAGTGCTTTCATCTCTTCTACCCGTGAACAATCTTCTCCTACAACAACATGGGAGACACCCTCTTCAAGGTGAGAAACTACTTCTGCACCATAAAAACGGAGTTCCAAAGCTTTAATTGATAGTGTAGTTCCAGGGATTTTGCTTTGGGGCTCATTAACAACAGCGTAACAGTCCACATAAATAGTGCTTCCTCTGAATATACCAAGCTGACAACTGTTACACCAATAACGTTCTTCCAGCTCTGCAATCAAGTCCAGAGGCATTGCCTTATTGTCTTTCATTCTTGAGAACACTTCCTTGAGCTGCACAACATCTGTGTTTGCTGTGTAACTGTCTCCATAACAATCATACTCACGAGCAAAATGTTCTTTTGTGTCAGGAGACATGTGAATCATAAAGGCTGGTTGCCAAGGCACCAGCATTTTGGTTTGAAAACACTGAAGGAGCCACTCTGCCCTCACCACATCGTATTTGTTGGAAGCAATGATGTTTTTCACTCTGACATTCTCAGCTCCCACAATGACACAGTAAGTCTCCGGCCCCGGGTTCTGTACCACACTGCCACCACATTGGGCTATTCTGCTTTCCAGCTCAGACTTTGAGTATTTTCCCATTCCTGTCATAACACAAAACTCAACATCTTCAAACACATTTGAAACCTTGCTTACACTAGAAAGATCAGGAGCTTTAAATTGCTCAGCTATTCCAATTACCTTCCTCACCTTTGAAACAGTTTTCCTTTTTTTCTCATGCGGTTCATCGTACTCATCTATATGAAGGTGCTTAGACGCCAGCTTTCCTTGTGCTTTGTTTCTGAGGTCTTCTAACATGTCAGAGGTCATGCACTCATACCATTCTTTGTCTTCCCTTATTTTCTCAATTCGGGGGAATCTCAAAGTACAGTCAGTTTTATACATATCACTGTCAACAATCTCAGCTGCCTTGATCTGAACTATGACAGAGTTGCAAGGTTCAATGTACATTTCAGGTTTTTCAGCTCCACACAAAATGTTACCAGGAGGGTCCTTCCTATGGTAAGGCTTCCAGTGTTTAGCCAGTTTCAAGCCTAGATCATACAACTCTTTCATAGTATAGCCAGAGCCAACACGACAAATGGAGTGGAAAATGGTTGGTTTTTCATTCGGAGGGGGCGTCTCTGCAACAGCACATAGAAAATGAGACATCATTCCACCACGAGACCCCTTCCCCCAGTAACCACCAACAATTAAAAGGTCCAGCTCATCCATGAGTCCACTGACATATTCTGGCTTGATTTTTAACCAGCCTTCCCCACGTTTGTCAGGCTTGTAGGTGGACATGGGATCTTTCACCATAATCCCTTCCTCCCTATTATCTATGGCTTCATTTAAAGCATCAATTACTTCTTTTCTTGTTCTGGCATTTCTCTTATGGACAACATGTATCCTGCCCTTTACCGGAGTAAATACACTACTTAAGATTTCATATCTTTTGCTTAGTACTTCATGCCCCAACTTCTGATCATTAACCATCAATACATCAAATACACAGAAGCAGGTCTGCAGATCAGAGTCCTCCACCATTCTTTTTATGTCAAATTTGTTTCCTTTTTGCATAAAAGTTTGTGCCTCAGGATTGTAAGCCATCATTTCACCATCAAGAATGCAATTTTGTATATTGCTCTTAAATACATTATGAATAAATGGCGTTAATGAACCTTCAAGGGGTGAAGCACCAAATTGCTGAGTATAGTCAAACCCATTTCGGGAAAAATACTTGTACACATCCCCATCTTTGTGCATCTGCATACGTTCACCATCCAGCTTAGTTTCTATGTAGAATGTCTGGTTACTCATTTGTTTCTCAATTTGCTGGACATCTGCAATAGCAGCAAGCATTGGTTTAAAGGCAGAAAACAACATGATAGAAACATCACTAAGCGAGACAGAGGGATCATGCAGTTGTCTGCAAACTTTTTCCAAATCAGTAGTAACATTGTGCAATTCAGCAGCATCAGGATGAAAAATTGAAAATATAGTTTGTTGACTAACACCAAGCTTTAGATCCTTTATAATCATTCGGATAAGCCATTTTTGTTCCAGTGCTGTGCTCTGGGTAATTAGCTGAAGAAGACTTTTCTTTAACTGACCCTTGTTTTTAGCAGCATTATTATTAGCAATTGCATCTAAGTGTTCATTGACTTGTTCTATTGTCAGTCTGCCTTGTTTTGGGCTCCTAGGTTTTAGCACAAAGTATGCGATCATTGCAAAATCTCCAGCATCTCCACGTGAGCCCGTAGGTGTTCTGTAATTTAAAAGTTTTGCAGCATCTTTTCCATCTTTTGGTAAACTAAGCAGTTCAATATAGAGCTTTGCAAGCATAGTTTCTTTAATTCCATATGCCATCCTTTCTCTTTCCAGCTGTGGGAGAATAAGACGCATAGCTGGGTAAAAGGAATCTGTGACATCTTTCTCTTTCTGATGAAGTGCATCGTGGAATTTCCTCCAGGAATCCAGAAAATCCTTGAAATACTTGGTTTTCTCTGGACGGGATTTGGACTTCTGTATTCGCTCGAGAGTAGAACAGAGATCTGCAAAAGGCACGTGAGAGGCCACCGTTTTTTTAGGAGGAGGCTGTGAAACAGGTGCAGAAGCCATCAGTCCGTTTTTCTGGGAACAAAACAAAATTATATATTTATAACAAAACGCCAACAGGTTATTCTGTCTTAAAAAAAAATAAAAAAATCTCTAATTAGGATATACATTTTTTCTCATTTTTTCCACCTAAGATCTAACCACTATTTTAAAGGTCCCTAGCTATTCCTCATTTAAGGGTCAAACTCAGCAGCGAGGCTGCGACACTGAAACACCGGCATCACCTAGAGATCTGCACGGCAGGAGAAGGCACCGTGCTCCCCTCCAGCTGCTGCCCAGGCGGGAGCTTTCAGTGCTCGGAGACCCGTTTCCCCCTCCACCTTCCCCGAGAACGCAGCCTGCCCCCGACACCACCCGCCTCGGCCTCTGTCCCCGGGCTGCTCCGTGCCGGCGGAGGGAGCGGCGTCAGCAGGGCCGGAGAGGGGCGGCAAGGCGCACCCCGCACGGCCCAGCACGGCGCTGCCATGGCCACAGCGCGGGATGACAGACCCGGGGGATGGAAGAACGGCCACCCAGGGCAGACTGACGGGGAGCCGCGGCTACCTGCGGAACCGGGCCGACAACGGGCTTCCCACCGCCCCGGAAGAGGAGGGCCAGCCCGGTGACGCCGCGCTCCTCCCCCGGGCCGGGCCGGGGAACGGTGGCGGAGCCCGGGGCGGGGAAAGGCGGGGAGAGGAGGGAGAACGGCGGAGCTGTGCCCTGGAAGCGGAACCGCGGCAGCGGTGACTTCCTGCCTCGGGAGGAAGGAGCGGTGGTTGAAGTTGCGCGTCGGGGTCTGCGCTGGCCCGAGGCACCGGCGGCGGCCGCCCGGGAGGATGCGGCGGGTGGGTCTGGTGGGCCTCGGGTCCGCCGCGGCACGGGAGGGCACGGCCCCGGCTCCTGAGGCCGCGCCGGGCCGGGGGAGCCGGGACGGCGGGGGCGGCCGGCGGGGTTGGGGACCGGTTTGGGGTCTCTCCGGAGCTAAACGCGGCTTTTCCCTGGGGTGGCGGCAGGCGGGACATTGCCCCGGGCGGTGTGCGGCTCCTGTGCCCGCACAGCGGGACGTGGCTGCCGAGAAACTGCTCCTGTGACAGCGCCGATAAAAGTTCCTGCAGGTGCCTCCCTGCGAAGCCCCAGAGACCTTAAGCTTCTTGGCAGCAAGGTCTCGCTCCAGTGTTTGGTTTGTTTCCACTGGAAGATAGAACAATTCCTGCAGATGGGTGCTGATGGTAACTGTAGCGTTCTAAATGGGCCACGTAATTATTCTGAAGAGGCTGAACTGGGTGCTTCTCCTCAGTCAAAAAGGAAGCAATTTAACACGCTTCGGAATTGCTGTGTTTTAGCAGCCTGTGGTCCCCAGAAAGTTATGGTTCCAAGTTAAGGTATAGCCAATCTTGGTTTGTTGTTGCTTTTTTTTTTTTTTTTTTTTTTTTTTTTTTTTTTTTTTTTTTTTTTTTTAATCAGTATCCTCGTAATTCCAGACATTCAGTCACGATGATACTTTGTGCCATTTGTCAGCTGGGAGGAGAAGCATCACGCGAGTTACAGGGAAAACATTTTCAGTTATATGTACAACTTGATGCAGAGCTGTGGATGTTGGCTGTTTGAAATAAGCAGGACAAGTGACTCGTTGATTTTAAGGCCAGAGCCATTAAGTGTGTGACACTTAAGTTATTCTTACTGTACTTTTTCCTTTGTTAGGAGTCGCTACTTTGCTGTTGTTTTCCTCTTTTTTTTTCTTTTATTTTTAATGAGTGTTTCTGTAGGATTTTAGTACTAAGAAAGTATATTTTTCTGGTCCTTACTGAGCTTGTAGGTTTTCTTCCAGATCAGTTCCCCCTCTGAAAGTAACTTCTTATAGTTGAGTATCTAATATTTCTACTTCCAGAGGTCTTCTGCATAAATATGAATAAATTTAATGCTTTCAAATCTTGTCTGTATCTGGAGGAGGTAGAGTCTAGGAAGAGGAAATTGAGACAAACAGATGTCATTAGCTATTTCTTAAGAACACAGAGAAATACTTGGTTTTGTTTTGAAATCCAAAGGATTGCAGTGAGTGTTAAGACTTAACTTTTTAAAGCTCTTCAGTGAGGGAGCAGCTATTAAACACCTGATTGTACTTCTTAGCGCTAACGTTAAAGCTACTTAGGCAGTAAAAGTTAGCTTTAAGGAGAGAATGTAATGTTTGTTTTTAAGCAGTATGTATAGATGCTATTATTGTTATAATTATATATGTATATTATTATAATATTCCAGTATTGTCATATAGTGTGTGTTGTGTTTATAGTCCAGGACATTTCATTGTGATTCTTGAACTTCATTATAAGATGTTTTCAAGTTCATCAAATGTTTCAAACAAGCATTCAGCTTGATAGGAGGAGCATGAGATGCACAGTTTCATTAGCGAAGCAGTTGTAATTTTTAGGGGGTTTGGCTCTTCTCACTTCTTAATCTTCTTTCAAGTAACAAGTTAAACAGTAAATTACATGTGTAATTCAGAACAATTTTACTCAAAATTCATAAATGGAATTGTCTTTCAGGCAGAGATGAAGCCTGGGAAATCATCACACCTAAAGGTAAATGTTTTATGATACAATTAGTGTATGAAAATAATACTGTTTAATATTAAAAATATAGACAAAGGCAAAACAACCTGTGGCAGATACAAGAGTAATTTCAGCTGCCATTGAAAATGAATGAAAAATTGTTTCCTCGTACTTTAAATATACACTTGAATTTTTGTGATTTTTTTTTCAGTTGATAATGGTGTTAACCATTTAAAAATGGCTTTAGGGCAAAGTAGAATATTGTTAAAATGCCTTGATCATAAAGAGGTTTTTTTCCCTCATAATTTTTTATTGTGAGTGATTTGTATTTTCAGTAGCTACCTAATTTTGGGACTTGTAGCTCATCTGATAGAACACAGAGGTCTGCAGTAGTTCCTAGGCTGTGGATTCAGTGGTGGAGATGTGCAGATACAGGGGCATGTGAGTGTGTGTCAACATGTGTGTATATCCCAACTCAAAGCTGAAGCTCACCACTTCCAAGTTTTCTTTCTGTTTTGAGAGACAATACAGTTCCATGGCAGTTCAAGCCAAAGGTACAGCAGCAGTCTGGCCAAGTCTTACTTGCATTAGGTCTTAACCTTGAGTTGGGCTGCATTGCTGTTCCTGTGTGGCCATGGTTTCCTCAGTAAAGCTTTGTCTTTCAGTACTATCTTCTGCTTGTCTTTTAAGCTTATGAGTATCACCAAATAAATGGTTGTAGGAAGTATCACAATTCCCAAAGGCTAGCCTTTTTGATGCATGTTATCAGAGGGAAAAAAGGAAAAATTTATTTTAAATTACCATATGCTTATTTACTTAGCCTTTTATTTAGTTTAAAAAATCAATGATTATGAAATGCTGTGAATGCTGTAAAAATGGGATGTGACCCCTTGTTACAGGAAAATCTTGTTTTCAAAGTTACAGCAATTACATGAAATACAGTGCTGTAATACAATATTTCTTCCAAAAAAAAAACAAACTTTTTTTTTGTGAAGCAAGAGTGCCCTCCAAGAACTTAAAGGGTTGAATCTTCTCAATATAACTGGGACATCAGACAGTTATGGGGCAAGTCCATGACTGGATGTTGTAGTCTAGGAACAGAAGCAGTCTTGTCTAGAGAAAGGATCAGGTTTGTCCAGGCTGGGTGGGTTGGTGCATCTGTTTGTTTCTCAAGTTGACCACGTCAGGCATCAATACACTGTTACATCAGTCTAATACCCTCTTCTCCCACTCTCACACCTTTGCCAGATTTTCCTGGCCCCCTATTAGTCACAAAATTAGAGATGCAAGAGAAATGCAGCTCATGCTTTTCGTAATTCATGACAGAGTATTTGCATCATAAGATGTTACATTGTAAACTGCTTGGAAGGTTTATAATTTCCCATCCAGCACACCAGAAGCAGGAAATAAAGATCAAGAAGAGAATTTTGTGTGTGTGTTGTCTTGCAGTATGTTGAACAGTCTCAAATCTCAGCACTTCAAAAAGTGCTGACCTTACTGCTCACTGAATATTACTATATTAGCTTGCCCTTTTTATTTCTGTCCTTCAAGTGGGAATTTTGTTCATTTGTTTCATCTTCTGCTTTCCAAGATAGTGTTTGGAAGGTCTGTTGCTTTGAGCTCATAGAAAGTATGGGTTGTAGCTTTATTTAAAATGAGATTATATTGATTTGGCTTGGAGTCTCTTCTAGGCTTGTTTGAGAAACCATCCTTTTCTGTTCTAGTGATCTTTTAATTGGTATTGAAAGGTGGGGAGGAACCTAGAAAAAAAATTTATCTTAGTTTCCTAACTAACAAATCTTGCAACAAGATGTGAAGGGCCTGGAAATGAATGGAACCAGTGAAGTTTCACACAGCTGGGAAAGAAAACTTTAGTAGTAATGTAATTGTTCAGTAAGGCAGAGTGGTCACCTTTATTTAAATATGTAGTGACCATGAAACATTTGTGGCTGTGTAGTTTGCTCTTCCTGTTAACTACTTACTGCATGTTAAGCATTAGTTGTAGGATGTACTAGCTTTGCAATTACAGTAGCTAAATATTTGTGTATACCTACATATATATATATGTATCAGAAGTAATCACACAGCAGCACTATCTCAGTAGTATTTTGATAATATAATCCTGCTGAAATAAAAATAGAAGTGGTGCACTTCTCATGAAACTAACATAGCTTATAAAATCAGCTGTGAGTATCAGTCTCCAAATAATAATCTGTAGTATACATGGGATAGCCATTGCAAAACTTCATCACTTGAAGTGAGATTTTTATTAATTCTTTGTCTCTTAGTAGTTTTGTTTAACAGTGGGTCTCTTGTGAATATCTGGTTGAGAAGACATTTTTGGAGTTTCTTTCATTTCGTAAGAAAGTCAGGAAAATGTTGAATAATGTAGGTAAGGAGAGTGGTTTTACTGTCTCATTATCAATGTTCTTATAGTCTTGAAATGTAATGCAGGAAATGTTTGTTAACTTCTTTAGGAAGTTATCTTAGAAATTGAAGTAGCTACTTTGTATGTCTTCTAATAATTGTGAGTTTTTTCCAACAAGAATTAAATTTTCCTATAGACAGTATTTGTGCATACTTGGATATGGATAATAACATGAACTTATAAATAAGAGAATAGACTACTTTATATGTCACCAGTTTTATGTATTTGGAGTACATACACTATATAAAAGCTTAATATCACATTGGGTTTGGTTAATATGTGAATTTTAAGATGTGACATTTATTTTTATTTCTGATTTATTTCTAATTTTTGCATAAAATAGAGATGGCAGGTTTTCCTGATTAGGGTGCTTATGTCTGTGGAATGCAAAGGCTGTAGCTGCAGAGGTCACCTTTTATCACTCAAGCCTAACAAGATGGCTGGTATAAAATGCTTGGATGCATCTCTGCATGTCAAACTCCTTTGGAGTTTGATTATTTATTATATCTTTTTAGGAGACCATAACTTTGTGGCGAAAGCATACCTATTATATGCTTTATAGCTTAGTGTTCTCAAACAAGTGAGTTTGTGTTGTCCCTTCCAGGAGACACTGTCCTTCCAGGGACAGTGATTATTCAGTTCAGTGGTGACTAAATGGTTACCATAGTTTTTGTGTGGGTTTAGCATATGTTTGCACATGAACCAGGAGCGAATACTGCGAGATCTTGTATGGATTTTGGGAGACATAACTTTTGGTTGGAAAGAAGGTTTAATCCATTGTCTTTAACATAACTCTCCTCATTTTATGCTCTGTGTGTTTTTGTCATGAGTCTGTTTTCATGTTTAGTATTTTCAGCAGTGCTTTTCATTGATCAGAGAATAATGTAGTTAATGGACTGTTTTCAGTGGTCTTGCATGATGGTAAAATTTTCCATTCAGCTAAAGACTTAATGTGGATTACTTATCTGACAGTGGAAAACAATTGTTATAAATCAGAAGCAATCAAAATATAGCAAAAAAAAAAAAAGCTGTCATAAATGTAACTACAGTGTGGTATGTTCTCATAGAGGCGTCTCTCTCTTGTGAGCAGTTCAGGTGTTGCTCTGCAACCAGAATTGATTGAGATGCTGAAAGACAGCCACTAACCCATAGCAGTGCTGGGATGTGTGGTGAGCCTCCACTGGCTGCAGAGTGACGTGCTGAGACTTACTGCATGCTACTTAGCAACTTGGAAATAAAGGCTATTTTTGTTTGTGCTCTCTGAATTCTGGAGTTATATGAGCAGCTTTGACAAACTGGTGATACAGTCTGTGTGGTTGTTCTCTTGCTTAGTAGGAAAGTCTGAGGGAAAGCAGAAGTTACTGTGGTAACTTCAGTCAACCAGTCTTCTAGTGCTGTTAATGGACTACCTGCAGAAGTACTGTAAATGGGATTTTGAAGAGTTCTAAAGCCTTTCCTTATGATTGCATTTCTGCTTGTTTTACAGGGTCAGATGGTTTCCAAAAGTTCAAAGGGAGTTAGCCACCAAATTTTATGTTAATGCTCCAATACATTGACTTGCCATTAATCTTCTGCAAGTACAAATGCTTAAATTGCTGCCTTTTTCTTTTTCCTATATTTATATGTATACATTTGGGTTCTTTTGCAGGATTTACTTGGAGTAAAAGATCACTGACTTCTACAATGGAAAAATCATGGATGCTTTGGACCTTTGTTAAAAGATGGCTACTAGCTTTGGCTTCCTGGTCTTGGAGTCTCTGCCGTATTTGTCTTTTGCCCTTGATAGTGACTTTTCACTTGTACGGAGGCATTATACTCCTTATATTAATATTTGTATCAATAGCAGGTATATTATATAAGTTCCAGGATGTTCTGCTTTACTTTCCTGAGCAGCCCTCTTCATCACGCCTTTATGTTCCTATGCCTACTGGTATACCACATGAAAACATCTTCATCAAAACCAAAGATGGAGTTCTTCTCAATCTTATTCTGCTGAGATACACAGGGGACAATGCAGCATATTCTCCAACCATCATTTACTTTCACGGGAACGCAGGCAACATTGGCCACAGGTTGCCAAATGCTTTGTTAATGCTGGTAAACCTGAAAGTAAACTTAATTCTGGTCGATTATAGAGGGTATGGCAAAAGCGAAGGAGAAGCAAGCGAAGAAGGCTTGTACTTAGATTCTGAGGCTGTCTTAGACTATGTGATGACTCGGTCTGATCTTGATAAAACAAAAATTTTTCTTTTTGGCCGTTCCTTGGGGGGAGCAGTAGCTATTCACTTAGCTTCTGAAAATTCCCATAGGATTTCTGCCATCGTGGTGGAGAACACCTTTCTTAGCATCCCATACATGGCCAGCACTTTGTTCTCTTTCTTTCCGATGAGGTATCTTCCGCTGTGGTGCTACAAAAATAAATTTCTATCCTACAGAAAAATCTCTCAGTGCAGAATGCCTTCTCTCTTCATCTCTGGGTTGTCTGACCAGTTAATTCCACCAGTTATGATGAAGCAACTTTACGAATTATCCCCAGCTCGGACTAAGAGATTGGCGATATTTCCTGATGGAACTCACAATGACACTTGGCAGTGCCAGGGTTATTTCACTGCACTTGAACAGTTCATCAAAGAAGTAATAAAGAGTCACTCCCCTGAAGAAATGGCGAAAACATCATCTAACGTAACAATAATATAATTGATATTCTTCTTTGGGGTGGAGTGGGGCAAGTACCTGCACTGTACCTTGATTTGTGATAAGTGGTAAGAGAATGTCTGTTTTTAAATGTATGTCATGTCTGTACTTGCCTAAAGAGTGAAATTAAACTTGGAAAGGTCTGATATTTTATTAAGGTGTTCCAGATAACTTTTACATTTGCAGCATTGTAAATGAACCATTTTATGTCTTTCTCATACTTTTTTGGTATCTCTGTCCATATATTCCACTTGTTTGATATGTGCAACAGATGCTATTAAAGAAACTTGCTACAAAAGTAGTACAGAATGTATTTAGAACAACGGGAGGCTCTTCGGTATTCACTGCTGTATGTGTGAGCTTTTTGGACAGCCATGGTTAGCACAATGATTAGTTGCTTCTCTTAGAGTTTATTTAAAGTGTGCCATGCATGAGATTAGTGTTTTATTTCTTGAAATTTTATATTATGCAAAGTGGGAAGACTTTAATGCGCTAAATAATATAACATAAATGGTAGAGTATACTTGCAGGTATACTGTCCTGGGTTATTACTGATTTCTATGGTTATGCAAACTTATATATGTCAAACTGCAGTTGAAGAGGAAAAGATACTTTCTTTATTTTTATTTACTGTTTGTATTATAATAGTGCACAGAAGGTTGTATGTGCCTAACATCGTGACTTCAGGATTTTACCCAGGCAATTTCTGTATAGAAAATAGAAGTAACTTTTTCTGAAAGAGATCAGTGCAATCTAAGCTCCTTCTGCCTTAAGCTCTCCTCACTAATGCACAGGCAAACTTTTTGTTAGTACTAGTCTGCTTGTGCATTTGAGGTGATAATTCTTAAGGCAAAATGGGTGATCATACGAGGTAAAAGTATGTTTTTGTGTTCAGACTTTTATGCTGGTGTAGTTAAATGTTTGTGTCCTTTATTTATACCTCCTAAAGAAACAAATTCAAATAATTACCAGTGATCACGATTAGAGATAAATGTGTACAGTTGCTACAGTAAGGATAATGAAAATGAGCAGATAGTCCTAGATGGTCCTGTCATTGAGGGTAGGAAAGCTCTGCAGACACTGATTTGACTGGAGCAACAAGCCAAGGCCAAGGGCATAAGGTTCAGCAAGATGAAAGGCTGGGTGCTGCGCTCGAGTCACAACCCCATGCAGCACTACAGGCTGGGGAAAGAGTGGCTTCAGAGCTGCTCAGCAGGAAAGAGACTTGGAGATGCTGGTCAACAACTGCCTGGATGTAAGCCCTCAGTGTGTCCAAGTGGTCAAGAAGGCCAATGGCATCTTGGCCTCTATCAAAAATAGTGTGGCCAGAAGGATCAGGGCAGTGATCCCTGTACTTGGCACCAGTGAGGCCACACCTCAAGTCATGTGCTCAGTTCTGGGCCCTTCACTACAAGAAAGATATTGAGGGGCTGGAGCAAGTCCAGAGATGGGTAACAGAGCTGGGAAGTTCTGTGAGGAGCAGCTGAGGGATATGGTGGTATGTAGTTGAGAGAAAAGGTGGCTCAGGGGAGACCTCATTGCTCTACAACCTTGAAAGGAGGCTGTAGGAAAGTGAGGGTCAGCCTCTTCTACCACATTTCAAGTACAAGGATGAGAGGAAATGACCTTGCATCAAAGAAGGTTCAAATTAGATATTGTAAAACAAATTTCACTGTAAGAGTAGTTAGCCATTGGACTAAGTTGCCGAGGCAGGCAGTGGAATCACCAGCTCTGGAATCATTCAAGTCATCTGGATGTGGCACTTGGGGATATGGTTTAGGGGTGATTATGGTTGTGTTAGGTTGATGATTGTACTAGATGACCTTGAAGGTCTCTTCCAACCTTGATGATTCTGTGATCAAAGACATTCTGTTAGCTTACTCTCTAATGGAGTGTGGGAACTGTTTAGCTCTCTTCTGCAGGTTTAATTACTCATCTGCTGCAGCTGAGTTTGCCTCTTCTTTTTTTTTTTTTTTTTAATGGAAAGAACAAATTAGAAAATCTTCCACACAATCTTTAAAGTTGCCCTTTGGATTCAAATTTTTAAGTAAACTTTTCTGCCGTGTTGTCCTGATTCAGAAAAGCATCTCAGCACACACTTAAAATCTGTTTCGTGAGGGACAGTCATATTTTAAGCTTGTGCTAAAGGTCTCTGGTTGAATAAAACTGCTTTCCTGAACTGGTGCCTTAATGGTTATGCCTCCTGATGGAATTATAGTTCTTACGTACATGTAAGTAATAGCTGTCAGCAGTTTGTAGACAGGATGATACATCTTTTTGCAAACCTGATATTTTTTTTTATTTTTTTTTTTTTAATAAACATTCACATACCAGAAGGTGCTGCTTTCTCTGGTAAGTATCTTTTTGATACTATTATTAAGGGTTCCGTAGAGTTGATTGGAAAAAAACTATACATCTTTGTGCATCTATAGACTTAAAAACATAGAGCTTAAAAACATAGTTTTCAATCTGAGTGAAACCAAAACTATCTTTTCAGCCTTACAGTGGTGATTTTTTTTTTTTTTTTTTTTTATTGGAGAAGTTTGACTGAGGGCTGGGAGATGGGTCTTTGTTTGCATAGCAGAAAGGAGTTGATGGACATCACATTGCCTTTCCCTGGTGTATTCTACAGTGAGATGTAAGCTGCTTGCGTAGATTGTTTCATCTACTTCACATTGCTTTAGAGTAGAGGTGGAGGGAGAGAAGGAAAAGTAGCAGTCAAATACTGTTTTTCTGAAATTCAGTTGATGAAGCCAAAAGAGTAGATTAATTATTGGAGATAGAATGAAGAGAAGGTAATTGTTGTCATATCTTGACATTAAATACCATTGGAGACTGGGGGGGAGGTGTTCACAAAGCATCAATATCTAAAGTAACATGGCATTTAACCCCACTTTCCACCAATCAAAACTCTCAACCCCAGAATACCCCTAGTATTATGTGGTACTTGTATGCAAATGAAGTATTCCTATTTGAGCACACAGTTGCTGATTCAAAGTTAAATGTGTAGTGTTAGATTATGGCAATCTGAAACTCTTCAAAGTGGGCTGTATCTAAACATTACTTTTTATTATCAAGCCATATATGTTTTCACTATCTTGTCTGCAGGACACAAGTATGAAACTTTAATTTTGCAGGTACTTTTGTGTGAGTTGACACAATTGTCATATATGCATCCTTTACACTTGTGTGGTTTCTTCCACCTTCCACATATGCACGGTTTTGTTTCTCACTTAAGGGGTTGGCCACATGCACTTGTGAATGAATGTTATTATGCTGTTTTTCATTGCATTGGTTATGAAGTTCACTGAAGGAGAATAGGAGGGAAGTGATGTTTTTATGCAAGTATTCCACTGCTCTGCATACAATTTTTTAAGGGAGGGAGGGAGAAAGAAGGGGGAGGAAACTTGTTCTGACTAGTGAAGTCTTGTTTTTATTTTGTGGACTGTGTGATAGAAACCAGAGTTATCTGCTGCTAAAAACTGAACTGCACACAGCATAGTAATAATAACTTCAAATTGCCAAATGGTGTGCTATGATATTGTTGCATTTATTTTATTTAATACCATTTTATGTTTTCCCATAACAGTTATCCATTTGTGTATAGATGTTTCCCAAATATTTGTCCTGTAGATATAAATTTCTAGTTTGGGAAGAAGGTGAGTTCTTTTCACAGGTTTGTAAGAAAGCCTTAGTTTAAATATGTTCATTAAAGCAATTTTATAACAAGAAATTTAAGTTAAAAAAAAAAAAGTAAAAACAAAGTTCCCAGCAAGGGGTCAGGAGTTGAACAGCTGTAGCAGTAGAGTTCCTTGTAAGAAAACATAAAACCTTGTGTGTGCACACATTGTGGTTTTAATTAGTGGAAATACTTGAGGCTTCCTACTAACCCAAGTTTACATTCCCAGAATTTGTTTCTGAACTGTGAAATGCAGAGAGATAAGCTGTGCTTTCTTCTGGAGAAACATTAACTGGCTTAGCTGCCCTCATGTCCATTTCTCAGGTAAAATTAGAAATAGAGCACAAATGCATTTGGTAGGTATGGACAATCTGTCAGCTAAAGGGCAGAAGGATTAACTATTTATACAAAATATGCATATCAGCATCTCTAAGCTAATAATTTGGTCACGTTGGATGTTCACAGTGAAGAATGCAAGGCAGAATTGAGAGTCCAAGGTATGGTCTTTTCTGTTAGCAAAAAGATGCAGACGTACCTCCATTTGTATTTCATCAATTCTTGAAAAATACATTTTTATTTTTGTTAATGACAGGCAATTTTGCTAGGGGCACTTCTGCCAAATATAAAATCAGTGCCTCTTGCATGTGGTGGGATCAGCCTGATGTATCCCATTAGGTATAATTTGCAATGTCATCCTGCTTGTATAATTTAGAGTAGAACCCCACAGAAGTGTAAATAGAGATAGCATATTGAAGTTCTAAATAACACTTATGTTTTGAATTCAGAAACAGTCACTGATTATGAGACGCAAGCTTTTTATTTGATTTTTCTTTAATATATAGTTAAGCCAAAACTTAATTATGAAATATTCTTAAGTTTTGTAGACAAAGCATAAATGTTATTGTATATGTGCTAATTGTGGCAAAGTTTTACATTATCATTCTAGTTGGTTTTTACAATAAAGTTAATTTTACAAAAAACACTTTTCTATTTTTATGTACTGACATATGCAATAAATTGATACATTAAAAGTGCTGTTAATGTCTTATTCTAGTTTGTGCCCTGTCTTCAGTGTGTTTGCATGGTAACAGATCAACTCCAAGGTATCATTTTCAGTCACTTACTAAAGCCAGAGCACATGGACTAGACATCTGCATTGTTAGATGTGGCCTTTGTGGAAAGCTATTACATCAGGGGAAAAAGCATATTACAAATTGTTTCTAAGTTTTGTCATGTATCCTCACTTTCAGGAAGTGTTAGTAAATAAAACTGGTATGGCTCTCCATCACTTTCTAACACATTTTGCATTTCAAAATGTCTCTGTCTGGGGGTCTGAGAGATGGTCTATATTATGTCCATTAGAAAGCATTTTGAAGTGTTTCTGACTAGTTTTACCACCTATGCTGGCAATATTTTAAATGTCAATTTTAAATCCTATAATGCCACTGGGATTTATAGTTAATTCATACAGTTG